CTCCCACACACGCAGAAAGTGATAGAGTTAGAGTTGAACACAAATGATCAGAGTATATTCCTATTCCGAACTTGCATGTTCTACTCTCTGAGTAAACACACAGGCAGGTAAGGTTATATGCTCAATAAGTGTGCTGCTGAATGTCTACTACGTGAGTCTGTAACCTGTGTGACTTGGAAATTAAGCGGAGTGGGAACTATTGCTTATTTTGTAAGCCAACTAACTGCCCAGAAAATGAAGTAAATAGTGAACATATAATTTTGACTGCAAATGTTATGACTTTAAAGAAATAAAGATCCCTGCACAGAGTATCCACGCAAACACTCTGGTATAAACACGCTGATGCTCCTGTTGTGAGCACATGACTTCTGTTAGCATGTCAGCATAGCTTACCCAGCACATCATATCACAGCGTCAAAAGGTTGTCCCACCCCTGATCTAAATGAAACCAAATTAAAGAGGATTAAAATCAAAGAGAAAGGACAGCAATCAAGCTTTTCAGCTTCCAAATTGCCCAGGTAGCTTCTGATGCTATGGTAGAAAATATCACAGTCACTCACACTGAGTCCCATCGTAGGCTGTGGCAAAGGGTTTTTTCCCTCTCAGTCGTACCCAGGAGCAGTCGGAGATATAATCTGCCTTGCTGTTGCTGCTTCTTCATCATCTCACAGAAGAAAGGAAGAAAAGGAAGAAGGTCAATCTACATCCACACGGCATTGATGCCTATCACAAGGACATTCATCCTATCAGCCCAGATTAGCCACAGGACCCGGAATAAGTACAGGGTTCTGCAAGGGGTTGAACACCCTGCTCGGCTGCATGGTAACTCCACCAAAGTTCACACAGACACTTTTTTTCCTATAAACTTTTCATTGATTGTTTTCAAAGTTTATATCAACCCTGATCACACACACTTCCCAGTCCTCCCATGACTGCCCCCACCCTTTAGACCTTTCCCCCACCAAGATAGAAGAAAAAAAACAAAGTCAATTTGTGTTGCCCATATACTCACACAGACATCAAGCTGAATAGAAAGTCTGTATAGAGTTTCTTCAATATCCATCATAAAACTGGTGCTGTCAGGAGCAGATGTGTCTTATTGTCATGAAAAACCTTATGTTATTCAAACATTTTAAATGTCATATTCTGCAGGTCTTTGAAGTGTTTGAAGAGCACCTATCTATCAAAAATATATGTTTGACATTGAAAACATACCTAATATGACTACAACTTTGATTGATATAGATAGCAAACTATTAACCTGTATTTCTTTTTTATCCTAAATAGTTTGTAAAAATAACTTTCAAGGACTAGAAATTTAGATTACCTTGTTAAATGAGCTTCACAGGTACAACACCTTAAACAAGAGTAGAAACCTATATATAGTATGTTCTAACAAAAATGACCTTAAATTTATATCAATATATAAAAATACCTTAAACAAGAGTAGAAAAATATACAGAATCACAAAGTAACCTTAAATTTGTATCAATATATAAAAATCCATACTAATATAAAATATCTAAGATTAGTATTTGTTTTTTTTAGTTTAAAAGTAGACTCAATAACCTACCCTTTTATGCTATCATTTCCATACTATATTCCCCCTTTCTTCTTCAGAAAAAGATCCCTGAATCTAATCTCATTTATTAATCTTTTTTTCTGACCAAGACCAATAACAATTTTTAACCAACCCTCCCTAAACAATGACAAATATCCATAACCTATGAATGACCAAAAACCACCCATCCCATCTCTTGAGAAGGTGGGTGTTGTGTTCTTTAGACTGATTCCTGTTGTCTGGGGGAGGAGGGTTGACATTTTGGAGATCCTTGAGAAAATTAGGATAATAGTTAAGTCCTGACTAGAATAGTCTGTGAAGTTGGACCATCTCAGCCAGCAGCTGTGGAGCTGTTCTCTATGCAGAACTCTGATGAGGAAACTGTAGCAGAGGCATCTGAGAGACTGAATCATCTGAGCCATTCATTGGTGCCTGGTCCCTTTGCTTTGAAAACACATGAACTTTTAAAGGTAACATACATGTCTGCATTAGCACAAGCATGGACTGTACATTGTACGCAATCCAGTCCAAGATGATTTGTTCTGTGTTTGAGCAAGGAAAACATATGTTGTAGCTTTTCTGGGTTTATTGCTTTGTGTCTGCAGCCAGGACTTTCAGGGGGTCTCCCCCGATCAAATCTGATTTCTGTCAACCTTCAATGAATCCACAGCCTTTCATTTTCTGTGAAAATAAAAGCATAACCTCTTCTCCAACACAATGTATTTTTGACTTCCATTTTGACCCCAGCCAAATATAAATAATTCAAGGACTAAGGAAGCTCTGTCGCTGGTCCCATAGTCTCAGCTTATTGGCAAATCAAGCAAATATCAAAAACATCATAAATGGATCAGGCATGTTTGTGTATTCCTGTAATCCCTGGATTTGAGATATGGACACAAGAGGATCAGAAGCTCAAAGCCAGAAGTATTATAGTAAGTTCCAAGCCAGCCTGGACTACAGAAGACCCCATCTAACGATGATCAAATTCAAACATCACAGAGGTAAAAAGACGCTCAGATCCAACAGTCAGACACAAATCCCATACGTATGATTCATTCTCATACATTTTTCTCCTTGGCTAAACCCTCATCTTGGTGACCTGATATATCAAGCATATAGTAAAACTTGTTTAACTTTTAAATCTAACTTAAAAGTCTATAATTAATAACTAGATTCAAACACCTTTTTCCCACTAAGTCAGTTAAACAGGCTGCTATGGCAGTTTGAATGAGAAATGTCCTCCCTGGGCTCAGGTACTTGAACAGTCACCAGTTTGTGGCACTGTTTGGGAAGTGGTACAGCATTTGGTGGAGGAACTGTATCACTTGGGGTGGGCTTGAGAGTTCACAACCTCACCCTCCTTTCAGTTCATCCTCTCTGCTTTGTGTTTGCTAGTAAAGATATGATTCCTCAGCTTCCTGCTCCTGCAGCCAGACTTCCTAGCCATGATGGACTCTCATCCCTCTGGAACCGTAAGCCAAAATAAACTTTCCTTCTATAAGTTGCTTTGGTCAGTGTTTTTATCACAGCAACAGAAAAGACCAATATAAGCTCCTTCATGTATTTTAGTAGACTCACACATACACACCCCATGCAGACACAAGCAGACCTGATAGTTCTCATTGACATTTGTAGTTTGCCAGGGTTTAAAGTCTGTCATATTCCTTCATGTTCAGGAGAAACATGAAGAGGCGACAACATGAATTCCTGCAATGCCTGGAAGGCCCGAGTTTGCATTTCCCTCCATTAGGAAGTGCAAACTGCCAGCTTCTGTCTCATCCAGTCAGGTACTGGAGGTCTGCAAGGGGATCCAATCCAATTACCTGTGGGACTCAATGCATTTTGGAACTACTCCAGTTTCCGCAAGGGCTTCCGATGGTCCACACCATCTCTTCACAGTGCGAATGAGCACTGCCAAAAGTCAAAACAGAAGCCAAAAACATTTGGTGCTCAATGCAGTGCACCGATGTCAAGATCGAACCAACTCTAGAAGACAGAGGAACCCCCAAAGGGGCCAGCCAATAGGGCCTCTCCTGCATCCCTCAAGGACTCATGGGAGTTATCAGTACTTTCTTGTTGGCCCCTCATCTGCTCTAGGCGCTCTGAAGTTGTTAGAAAATTACAACAACTGGGATTTTGTAGCTCTTGGTTTGGCTTGCAGCACTAGAATTGGATAGCAGTCTGGACAGAAAACTGCAGACTGCTGTACCCCACCACTTCACAGCAGATCACATTTGTAGCCAAAGAAAAGAAAAACTATGTGCAGAAAATGGAAGGGAGGTATAGAACCTGATTGGTTACAGCCTACACTTGTCTTATCCGGCCACTTAAGGATTGGCTGAGATGCAGCAAAGCATTCTAAGGGCGGGTTATGAAGTAGCCTACAGTTCTGGGTGGTTCATGAGTGGAGAAACCCTTAGGCACATCTTTAAATGTTATGAAGGCACCGTTAGCCAACTCAACGAGTCTTTGGCAGCCACCATTTTGAAGATGGTATAGTGGATTTCAACAAAGGTGGTCTGGAGGCGGCAGTGTAGATATTTACTGTCAGAGATTGGAGGAGAGCGCATCCAATGTCACTGTGCCCCCAGGCCAGGTGTCCACAGCCCAACCTCAGTTCAGAGTTCAGCAAATCTAGACAAACTTAGACTCACCTGCTCATTGTGCTGGAGCTTCCCTGACCCTGCAAAGCTGCAGAACTCACTCGCTCCTGAACTCAGCATGGGTTCATTTCTCCAAAGTACTCAGCCATTTCTGCCTCTCAGACCCTTGATGTTATAACACACAGCCTGCTAACACAGCTCTCGGGCTTCTTATCTCCCTCCCCTGTCTCCTGCTTCCCAAGTAAACTATCTTCATATAATTCTGTCTCAAGCTCTGGCTTCTGTAAAATCCAATTAATACAAGAATATGATACAAATCCCCAGCGAGATATAAAAGAAACACGGGACCTCCAAATATTAACTCTTCATTATTCCAAACACCAACATATTTCCTTGTCTGCAGTAGTTCTTAAAGTAATAGATAACATTGACCATTATGAGGTACCTCTGCATTCTAGTTCAACTGTATGCAAATGTATGCAAATACAAGCATTTCATTGTGGCCCTTGGCTGTGGGAGGAATATGCCTTCCCTCAGAACACAGTTGTCACAGCAGAACCCAACAGGCTGTTGTTGCAACACTCTGAGCCACTGTGGATGTCTACATGGCCTCCTTCAGACCACCAAGCCTGCTAAGAGACGGCCTGAGCAGCCAGCTCAGCTTCAACATCAATTGGCTCACTGTAAGGAGCGAACATTCTCAAAAACACTCACTTGTCTTCTAGAGATGCAAATGAAGTCGGTAAGCTCCCAACTTCAGGAGCTGGGGCCAGGGCAAAGAAGGGAAGCGGCCAGGAGACTGGCAAGCACTATGAAGCCACAGTGAAACAGAGGAGATGAAGAGAATTTTTATTGGAATCTGGAGTATAAATGATGACACCACTGTTTGTTGTTAGGAGAATCATATGCTCCCATGGACATGCTGGGTTTTCTCTCCAGAACTTAATGGCAAACATCCCGTTGTTCCAAGACTTCAGTAACAGACTCGTGTGCAATTACGTATCTGACACAATATGAGATCTTTTCCCTTTTATTTATGCATCCTTTTTCTTCTTATTTATTCATCTCTCATGCAATACATCCATCCGAACTGGTTTCCTCTCAGCTCCCTCCTCCCTTATCCAGGGTTCCTCCATTTCCCTTCAGAAAAGAGCATGCTTCCCAGGGATAGCAACTGAGCATGGCATAACAAGAAGCAGCAAGACCGTGCATCATCACTGCTGAACTATAATTAAAGACTCTGTGAGTCAAAAGAGTGCTTCCCCTTGATTAAAATACAAATCGACACCACAATCTATGCGCACTGATTGTCCCCTGCAGAGAAGATGGTGCTGTCTATGCAGGACAAGGGCAGCGCAGGAACCTGTCCTCAAATGTGTCATAAAGCCACCATTCCCTCCACACTTCTCAGTGCGAGGCACGGCTGCAGTGTTTGACATTAAGAAGCCTAAGGTTTCCAACTTCTAGTTAAGAATCATATTTTAAAAATAGAAAATGCCTGGAAGTCATTATTTAATTTTTCAGTGTCCAAAACTTTAGAGTTTTCTTTTCTTTCCTTCCTTCTTTCCTTTTTTTGTAAAATAGAATTAAGTATGTCATCTTCACAGTGAATTTAATGTACCAATATTTCCATTCAAAAGACATTTATACTTGAAGTTTGTAGCGGTAGCCCCAGCCAATCACCTTGCTTGTAGGGCGGGGTCGCCTGAGGATATTTTTTACTAATAAATATTGCTGGTGTGCTCTCCCCCTCCTCTTCTGCTTTCCCGTTCTCCACTGGAACCTCGGCTTCTATAAGTCTTTCACCAATTAAATCTGAATATATTATTATTATTTCTGTCTGCCTTCATTTACGCCGCTACAGAAGTTTGATATGGCTATATATGAAGCCAAATTTCAACTTTTTTATCAACTTTTAAAAAATCATTCAAACCCTTTCTCTAAACCTTGAATTGGGGTCTTTGTGTTCTTGACAGTGAAATCAGATGCATGGTCTTCAGATCTGAATCATGTATGTCACTAGGATGTCTTTGGGTCAGGATGCTATGAGGGCAGTAGCTGGGTAGCTTCACTCTTCCAGAAGGTTCTGACCCTCTTGAGCCCCAACGGACGTCATGTTCTTTGTTTATATTCGATTCGGCATCTCCCTTCTGGCTGGGGGACACCCACCAAATGCAGACAACTCTAAAAAGCAGAAATGTAGAAGAGATACAGAAATGAAGACAGAAGTCAGCAGCTTTAGTTCTGTCTTCCCCGGCTGTGATTTCTAAAAGGTACGGAGCGGAGGCTGGAAGGCTGGGAAATGCTCGTACTGCCAAGTTTCAAAACACTGAGCATCAACTTTACCGTTGGAGGTGTAGGGAAGAGAAAGTGAGCTTATTTTAATAATCTCTCAGCTCCACATACATTCACCTGGGTCTGCCTGCTGCCCACCCTTCTCCCTGTCAGGCTGAAGGTGCTTTCTACATCCCTGGCTCAAAAGCTATGACACCTTGTGTAGGAAAGTCAGACAACGTGGCACGGATACAGGTATGGGCATGAGTCAGCTGAAACACGGCTGACACCCGATACCAAGGGGACAGGGTCAGCTAATGATGGCTGACAGTAGATGCCTGGGGAGCCCCAAAGGAAAACAGAGACGCAAAGACAGATGACCACTGATGAGAGAATGCCACTTTGTGTGACTCTACAGAAACATGACCTTGAGGTTGGAAGGGAATGCCTTTGCCTTCCTCTTCTGTGGTGGTTTGACTAAGAAAAGTCCCCCACAGCCTCAGTATTGGAACACTTGTTCCCCAGTTAGCAGTGCTTCTGATATACACAGAAGTGTATCACACGGGGTGGGCTCTGCATTCAGAAAGCCTGGCCAAATCCAGGTTACCCTTTATGCTTCATGTTTGTGGTTCAAGATGTAACTCTCAGCTCCCTTTTCCTGCCGCCCGGCCTGCTGCTTGCTGCCATGTCTTTCCAAGCCATCATAGACCCTTATCCCTTCAGAACTATAAGCCCAAACAAACACCCCCTTTTATGAGTTGCCTTGATCATGGTGTTCTATCACAGAGACAGAAAAGCAGCTAATATGCCTTCCTACCTGAGCTCTACGTGGGAGTAGGCTAGTGTGCATGTGTCCCTGCGTGTGGCCTTTGCATGTCATCCTGTGTGCCAGTAATTATGTCTTGTCTCTACATGATTTCTTCTATTTTTTTTCAGCCTCCCAGCCTTCTATAGCGCCCCTTTTCTTGGCTCTGGAGCTTGGACCTCATACCCGGCTATACTTGGCACCTGCATAGGTACTTGGAAATGACTTGGAGCTGGTGGGCAGACCACAGCCACACTGTTAGTATGACTGTCACGTGTGGATTTGTTTTGCTATGGAAGCGTAACATCTGAGTTTGTAGGGTAAGGTAAGGAGTATCAGTCTACTGCTAAAGAAAGAATTCTAAGGTTGAGAGATATAAAAAGCTCTGTCGGGGAGGGGTCAATGAAGACTGAGAAAGGAGGGGGATACAATTTAGGCAATCAGCCTTTTTATTTTCAAGGACACAGAATGGATTCCTTAACTACCAATCTATTGATAGAATGGATTGCATAGTTCATGAGCCCAGTGAAGTTGAACCCATAGTTACACATGAAGACATAGGTGCTTCTCTAATGAGAGATGCACAGAATTCTGTTTTCTAAGGTGCTGGATGTCCTGCTAGTCCCTGGCCAGAGCTTGCAGTCTACTATGGCCTGTGAGCTCTCTCCAAGCTTGGCAACACGGCAACTCCCTCCCTCTGGCGAAGGGCACCTTGCTCTCTAGATGACCTTATCTGGAGAATGTCTCTAGGCCTGGTGCCTGAATTATCTCTAGTGTGACCCTGGATACAGTTCCCTGAAGAAGCTTTCTCCCTGCTGCCCTTATTGTAATTAGAAAATTGTGCACAGATGATAACTAAGACTTGTTCTAGGAGCTTTATGATAGGAACGTGCTGTTTAATGTAAATTAGGTAATTCCTCAACTACTGTCCCCAATCCTATATATCCCCCTGTACTCTGGAATAAAGCTGAGATAATTCACTGACGTTATCTCCTGGAGGGCTTCCTCTGTCATACTCACAGGTTGGACAAGGTCCTGCTTGTCACTTCTACCCGCTTTGTCCCCTTGGCCTCCTTGGCCAGGAGGCCAACTGGCTTTGGGAGAGAAGGGGACCCACACTAGGGATTTGCACCCTAAAAATGCTACAATGGAACAAAACCACCTGAACCAGTAAAATATGTGCCTAACATTGGAGTGGTTTCATGGATGGATGCCAGGACTGGTGTGGCATATGGCTTAAATAAAGGTTTGCTGCATTTCCTTGTCATTTGATTCTTAATGAGAGAGAAATAAAATTATATTTATATTTTTAAAAGGAAATATATGGTCGCGGGGTCATAAGAGTGACAGAGTGGCCCCGCACCTCATCTGTGCAGCACAATAGAGCTGATTCTCTTTTCAGGGGCATAGGTGGTTTTGCCCCACAAAGCTGTACCTGGCCCCACTCCTCACTGGCCATATGGTGGAGTGGGTGATGGAGAGATGCCCTCTCCTATCTCCACCCCTTGCCACCTGTGGCAGGTGGGAGAACTAGCATTGAAGTCATGGGAGTGGGAGAACTGGTCCTGGTCTTCACCAACTGCAGCACTCGGGCGAACTGGCCCTGCACCTCTCCTGGACAGCACAGCAGAGCTTTGTGCTTACTATCTTTATGGGGGGGAGGGGGGTCTGCATCTGGTCCCCTTCTGAATGGACCAAGGGCTACTACAACATTTAAAACAAAGAGTTCATGTGTAGATCTACTGAAGACCTTTATATGGAGCCAAGGTCAAATATAAGGGATTCCCTCAACACATGGCCAGTACTGAAAGCCACACATTTCTATCAAACTGTAATATTACAAGTCATAATAATGCTAGTAATTCTAAAAGCACTTACCTGCTTTGGTAATGGGTCCAGAAGGCTGCAGTCATATTTATAAAGCACTAAAATAATACATATTTGGATCTCTAGCAGAGCAAACCACCTGAAGGAAAAACATAAGACAATTTAAAAGATGCATGAATACCTACCTCTTCTTAATAACACATATTCCACTGAGTGGTTGGGATGGATGGCTCAGTTGCTTTAGATGATGCATAAAATGCTTAGTTATTAGGCAAACACAATTAATAAAAATCTGCTCTTTAAAGATGTATTTTATCTTTGAGTACATAGCTTATGTCTGTGTGTGCATGTGCACAGAGTATGCGTGTATCCTCAGAGGCCAGAAGATAACCAGGCACATGCACATATGTATAAACAAAAAGAAACCAAAATTTTACACTGTATTTTAGCTAAAGGAAAAGATATGATTTTACCCAAATTTAAATATTTGGACATTCTAGTAGGATTTTCTCTAGTACCCAATGAAGGTAAACTTTTTGGCAATGGCAAAATAAAAGTTTTAGGCATTTACTACTATGTTGAGTTTTCTTCCGTGGCTAACACTAGACTCTGGCCATCGGTGACACTGTGTATTTTTTTTTTTATCAGAGTCCTTCAGAAGCCAGCTGAGATATGTTCATGCTAAGAATGTTTCCCCAACACTTCCATGTCAAAAGAGTGAAAATAATGAGGTGTGTTATTTATAACAGATTCGGCTTTCACATTTAGAAGGACAGGAGTGCACATCTAGGAAGACAACTCACTAAAATACAAACATGGTGAAAATTCCTCAAATACTTAGCACTTGTGGGGTTTCCCCATTTGTAAAAATACTTGTCTGGAAACAGCTGCAGGGGCTTTGTGGAAAATGAGTTCCTAGCAAACCCAGCACTGCCAAGACTAGGGCAAGAGGTAATGGCAACAACCAGGCCAAGGGGATATGGCAAAAGTGGGCACAAAGATGCTGCAGGGATCCGGGGTCTGGAGGGAGCAGGGACCTGGATATTCCTGCAGGCAAACCTTGAGATTGACCTTCAGGAAGGACATAAGCAGGCATGGTGACTAATAGTGTTTCAGAGCCAGGGCACCAAGAGAGGGATCTTGGGGGCCTGGAGACAGCTGGGCAAGCCCCGGGGAAGGGTAACCAGGGGCTTACAAAGGTGCAGCTGAGGTCAGATTAGAGGGCCACAAGTCCTGACAGGATAAGGGTGTGATTTGCAGCTGTGGTTCAGGTTCCTAACCAGAGTGGCGTTCACAGATATTCCAGGAGAATTCATCAGTGCACACTAAAGACGGATGAAATAAGAGAGTGGTGGGGAGTCAGGTTAGATGACAATAAACTATCACTTGTGGACCTGGATCCACGGGAGAGAACACAGGCGGGGTGCCACAGTTGGGGTGAAGGTGGGTAAAAAACAGCGCCAATCCTGGATTTCTTGGAAGAGAGCAATGTATATCAAAGAAACAGAATGCTTACGGAGTGCTAGGACCGGGTGGAGCTATTTCCAGTTTAGATGCTCTGATTTTGAGTAAACTTTTATTGTTGCTGTTGTTTCTGTCACTGTTGGTTTTAAGGCCAAGAGATCTTGGAACCCCATATGCAATCCCAGGCTGTCCTTGACCCTCCTCAGGCCCCTGAGTACTTGGATTTCAGGAGTGTGCCACCACGTCTGGATTCTCTCTGACTTTTCGAAAGGAAAACCTCTCTCTCTTCTTCCCTCCTAGAAGTCACTGCAAGCGATGCCAGCTAGGGCTGGAAAACTGTCCCTGTTGCCAGGAGCAGGAGCTCTGCCGTGTATTCCTGGTTGCTACCAGCTGCAGCTCATGAAAATAGAATGCTCTTGCCCTGGAATTTGGAGATGGCAGCAGGCAGGCATAGTTACAGAGGCAACATGCATTGAAGCATAGCTAGTCAAGGAGAGGTGTCTCCTCAGCCTCATCTTAAAGAATCTTGGAGGAAAATACAAATCAAGTCTGTGGCAGGAGGCAAAATAACCGTGAGTCAATGGTTCTCCAAGTTTAGCATCTGCCAGAATTTACTGGGAGAACTGGGAAGGCAGAACTCTCCACACCTTACCCTCTGGATTTCTGACTCCAGAGGTCTGGGACAAGACAAAAGATCTGTGTTTTGTGTAGATTTCTAGATAGTACTTCCACTGGCGGTGTGGAGCCCACAACATGGAAATTGATCATCTAGAGGAACTTAGTGAAGAGAAGCGAGGAATGCATGCTGGGAGGTGTAAATTTATCATTCCTTTAAACTTGAGTGCCCAATGTCCACGTGGCAAAGAATACACGAAACGGGTTGGCTGAGGCACCAGACTTTTGACCGAGGATAACAGTAAGTATAAACAGGAAGATGAAAGGTAAACACTTTGTGCTGAGTGAGAAAAACCAAAGGGAAGAAGATATGAAGATAAGGATGGTGTCGGAGGGAGGTGGGGTGACAAATGGTGCAGAGGTAAGAGGGTTTGTTGCTCTTTCGGAGGACCGCAGTTTGGTACACAAGGATGTGCCTTTGCTCTCTGAGCCATCTTGCTGACCCTAATCTCTCTCTCTTCCTCCTCCTCCTCCTCCTCCTCCTCCTCCTCCTCCTCCTCCTCCTCCTTTTCTTCTTCCTTCTTCTTCTTTTTTGAGACAAGTTCTCAATCTGGCCTCCAAATCACAGAGGTCTGTCTGTCTCTGCCTCCCAAATGCCAGAGTTAAAGCCATGCACCACCATGTCCAGCCCACCCCAAAGAATGCTGTTGGATTCAGTTTTGGCATTTTGCTGAGTTTTATTTTTAAGAATGTGATTAAAAAAAAATAATCATTTAATTTTTATTTTTTAAGTATGAAAGTTTCTGTTTTGTTTGAATTTATGCCTGCATCCCATGTGCGCAGTGGCAGCCGAGGCCAGAAGAAGTCATAGGATCCTCTGGAACTAGAGTTGTTAGCTACCAGATGAGTGCTGGCACCGAATCTGGGTCCTTCAGGAGTAACAAGTCCTCTTAACCCCTGAGCCACTACTTCTGGGTTTCTGCATCAATTGTTCATAGGAAATGTTGAGCTATCTGTTGTTTGCTTTGTAGTGTTTCTGTGCGGAGTTGAAAGTGGTAGTGCTGACCTCATCAAATAAATTAGGAAATTCTCTCTCCATGTTTTGAACAAGTTTGAAAAGGGTTAAGATTCCTCAGTGATGCATCCAAAGGAGTTGGGTAAAGAAAAACAAACAACACCTAAAAAGAATAGATGGGAAAAGATATTCAAAATCAGAGATGATGAAAGTAATAAAAAAAGACAGGGAAAATACAAATAATCAATTTTATGAGAAGTTGAGTCTTTAAAAAGATCAATAAACCTTTAGCCAAATTAAAGAGGAAAGACCAAATTTTATAAAATCTGAAATGAAAAGCGAGTCATTACAACAGACATTGAGGAGATTCAGAAATTCTTAAGGACAAACTTTGTTCACAAAATAACATCAAGTACCTACAATATACACAATTAAAAGCATAAAAGTAATACACCAAAACTTTGGTGGGTACTGAGAGATGGTGAATGTACTGTACCGAAATTTTTCTTTTTTCTACTTATCTATAATCATGACTGTTCTAAAGCTGACAAAACTCATTTTAAATGTAAAAGTAAGTTCATGACATTTTGTAAAAGGGGAAAAGATATATTTATAATACTGCTCTCCAATTTTGAAAGAAAAAAAGTCATATGTCACTATGGAGAAGCTAAAAGAAACCAATTTCTAAATGTATATGACCTACCAAAGTTAATCACAATGAAATAAGTAACTTAGACACTAACAACCAATGAGATAGCAGCAGTTAATCTCCTGACCAACCAAAAGTCAAGGGCCAGATGGATTCACCAGAGGATTATACATGCAGCACAACTGCATATACAGACTCACAGTGGCTGGAGCTGAATGTCAAGATCTGCACAAAATCCCAGCAAGGGTTCTAGAGGGACCCATGAAGTCCCAGCCCTCTGTGAGGAAATATTGGTAACTGATGGCTGCTGGGAAAGGGAGAGAGAGTAGAGTCAATTTTCTTCAGGGATGTGATCCAGGAAATGGACCAATAGCAATGCACATACAGGCAGCCCTAGGTGGACTCAGTGGGTATTTTTTTAATGAGAGAAGAGAGAGAGAGAGAGAGAGAGAGAGAGAGAGAGAGAGAGAGAGAGAGGAGGGTAGATGGAAGGAGGAGGAGGGGAAGGAAGATACAAAGTTGGAAAGGAGAAGTGGTGGAATGGTAGAAGAGAAATTGGAGGGAATGAGGGTGGATATGATCCAACATTATATGTAAGTACGACTGTTAAATAAAATATTAAAACGAACAACCACAACAGAAAACGACAGATACCATCAGCTTCTCTGTCTATGTGCCTCTCTATTTATCTGGCAGGAAATGACTACTCTAGAAGTCTCAGTAAGTATCCTCACAGCTAACTTTCTTGATTCAAACACTTGCCATCACCTAAACTAACAACTGTAGGAAGGAAAAGAGAAATCTGGGCTTGAACACACTAATTCACTGAAGGTACAGTGACCCACATCAGTAAAGCCACAGAACAACATGGCTCTTCATGTGAAAATTAAGACTACGAGAAAAGGAGGCAGAGAGAAGTATGGCAGGACAGTAGCCGACAGCTGACACTGGGGCCTAGTACACTTTAGTTCCAGCCCCACTTTCTGAGGAAGGAAACTCTCTGCTTGTATTTTGAGACAGGGTCTCACGTGGCTCAGTCAGGCCTTGAACTCCTGATCCTCTTCCTGCCATCTCCCAAGTGCAAGGATTATAGCCATGCACCACCATGCCCGTCTCTGAAATCCTCTTTCTGAACAGGTGAGAGATGGAAATGCCAAAAGAGCCATCAGTGGCTCAGCTGGGTGATATGAGAGACATCCACAAGAAGGGGTTAGGAGAAGAGGGCAAACCCCTCTGGAAATGTCTCCTTTTCTTGCCACAGAAAAATACCCTATCCCAGGATCCAGTGCACCACAAAGGGCTTGAGGTTCTATTCAACATATGAAAAGGGAAAAACAAAGACTCCTTTTCTGAAAATTTTCTCAGAAAAGACCATGTTCTGTTTTGGAAGCCTCCT